TTATCCACAAGGAATCCGATCCCCCCAATTTGGTATTTTGTGGGATGCAAGACACAGCTGTAATTTTTGTAGAATTGTCTGTGTTTGTTGGAATCCATGCTCGTGTTTGTTTCTTGCAGACATATAACTAGAGCTTCATGTTTTTACATCAGAAGGTCTATGTATTCTTTGTTGGTCTGAAGCCCTTGGTTATTGTATTGGATTATTCCATGACTATGGGGTATTGGGTTGTTCTGTTTGGCGGTTATTGGTGCAGAATTCATTTGGCATTCGGTTGGTTTGGTTATGGTCTGTTTTATTTATGTTTCCATAAAATTTTTGTCGTCACTATTGTCGAACGGGTCACGCGTGCCTTTACTGATTTTTTTCTTTTGTGATTTGGGGAGCATTTGCATGTTTATCTTTTTTAACTCTTGTATCTGTGCCTTGGTGCTGGTTGTGATTGTTTGGGTTTTACTTTCAGAGATTTTTGTTTTTGCCATTTTTTGGGCGAAGGTGCTGGTTTCCAGATCCTTTAGGCCTGATCTTGTGATATAGTTTTTTGTTTGTTTGTCTTCTGTGCATGGTTTTTCTGTAGTGTCAGACGATTTTGCTGTGTTTGGTGATTCGATGGCGGCTAACGTTGGTTGCTGACTGGTGTGTATTGCTTGTGAGTGGCTTTGTTTAAATGTGTATTGGATAATGTTGTTTGAGTTATGGGAGTTGAGGTTGTTTATTGTATGTTTATGTTGGTTAGGGTTAAAAATAATCAAGACCTAAATTTATATTAGAATAAATTCCGACAATATGGAAGATACCAGTATTATGGTTTGTAAGTTTATTATTTTCATATTTATCTATTTGTTTTGTAGGAATTTATTTTTTTTTTTTAGTCTAGAAAGAGGTTTTCAATTCAGTTGTAATTTGAAATTTTTCCAATTCTTAATTGGTTGTCAAAAGTCTAATTATTTTAAGTTTGACGTTGTCAAAAAAAGTTTTTATCGAGCATACCTCTTTCAGAAAATGAGTTTTGAACACACCCATATTTAAAATTATTTATTGAACGTATCTTAATTATATAAATAAAGATTATTTTTTATTATTTTTGCTCAAAATGTTTTTAATTGCATTGTTCTGTGTTTCAAACGCCAATATGATAATATTTTTAATAAATCACTTGTATTTTAGTAACGTTTTAATTGTTTTTAGGTGTTTTGGTACTTTTTATAATTTTTCATTGGAGGATAGAAAAGTTTTGTAAGATACCGGCACGGTGATAATCGCCGCCGCGGCACATTTTTATTCAGTATAATTCTGCACTATGCCTGGCATTTTTGCCTATGATTTAAAGTTATATATTAACCGCCAGATTGAGAAGTATTATTTTATGAGTAATTAATACTGTAAAATTAATAATTGAGTTTTAATTAGCAAGTCTTCGCTTTAAGTTAACACGATAAACCTTTATAATACAAAACAAAATTTTCGGTTTTTGGTATAACCCAAAATGTTTGTTTATGTTTAATAAATACTTTGAAATTTGACGTTTATCACACATTTATAAACTTTTTAAAAGTTTTTTTCAAGTTTTCCGTCTGGTTTATTTTTTTTTAAATGAGAATTTTTCTTCTTGATAGAAATTTCGTCATTGTGTCTCTTTTTAAAATTTTTCCAAGCTATATCCCAGACAGATACTAAAAAAATTCTTCAATGGAAATGTAATTAGAATAAAATCAGTTTAGATAAATCACGTATGTAGCGCACGAAATGTATTAGTCATAAATCTAATCAATAAATCACAATCAATCATAAATCGATTCCAGAATTAGTTGAATTTCGATTCGAGAAAAACCAAGACATTCATTTTGGAACGAATCATCCATCGATTCCTCAATCAGTTAATCAGTCAGGAATCGGTTGCAGGGTCTGTCACAGAATATTTACAGAATCTTTGACACTAAAATCACTTATGACCCATAAAAAATAACTTTTTCAATAAAAAATAATCGATATCCTGTTTTTAAGAAGTCCAGAAACGGCCAAAGTCTAATTTTCGTGTTTTTCGGAGATATTGTTATATTTTTTTTTACCCAAAAATCAATTTTTGATGACTTTCGGGAGATATTTTTCTATTTTTTTCTTGGCTCTGTCTGAAGGTTTTATTTTTGAAAAAAAAAATATTTCATCAATAATAATTTTTTTTAAAAACATTTCAATTAAAAATAATCAAAAAGGGTTCACAGATGGTTTTCTCTAAGTTTCACACTTTTATAACCCAAAATCAAAATTTTTGGTTTTCGGTGTAACCTTAACATTACAAAAAACCATTTATTGAAATTTTAAAAAAAATTAACGGAACCTGGAAGGTTTTTTTTAAAAAAATTTTTTAATGTTTTAATAACACAAAACTTTAAGAATGTAAGCATTAGTAAAGTAGAAAAATTTGAATTTTTCTAATCAAAAATCTTGTGGGAGATTTATGATATTAAAAAGGGCCCTCTATAAATCCCAAGAATATGTGTAAATTCGTCAGCTATTAACCGTCACTCTCTCTTAGCATCCGGGGCTATATTTCTGTCAGCCATGGGTATAACCAAATAATATTTGTTTATTTTTGATAAATATATTGAAATTTGACGTTTATAACATATTTATAAAGTTTTTAAGTTTTTTCAAGTTTTCTGTTTGGTTTATTTTTTTTTAAGTGAGAATTTTTTTTCTCTTTGAGAGAAATTTCGCCATCGTTTCTCTTTAAAGTTCTTGTAAATTTTATTCTAGACAACGTGAGACTATAGCAGGCATTTATTTCTTCATGAACAGTGATCAATTGATTATTAATTACAATATATCAATTGATTTTTATTTAGTATATGATTTCGAAAGGGGATATATCTTGGAATAATGGTGGAGACTAAAAGCTTGACAGTGTATTTCGCTTTTTTACTCACTTTTTGTTCACTTTCAAATCAGAACTCTCAGCATTTTCTAATGGATGTTTCACTTTACCAATAAGATTACTCATGTTTTTAATTGGATTTTTGCATTTTTTCTCAAATTATCGACTGAACATTTTAATTTGAAAAACAAAGTGAATAAATCTTGTAGGCATTTTGGAAAAAAACAAGATACGCAATACCAAATAATTCTTCTCATTCGAAAATTACATTATACAAATATATGATAGTTACTCACTTTCTTCTGTCTTTCCGTGTAAATTGGGCCCTAAATGTAGGCAACTCGAAGAATTTCTCCAAAAGAGAATATTGCTGATTATCGTTTATGAAAAATTTATTTTTTTAATTTTCCGACAGATTTTATCGGGTCATTTTAAGTATACGATAGCACACGATAGTGAATTTACAAGTCGTTTTTCAGTAATTTTTTTTTTTTTTTCCTTTCTTTTTATTGCAACTAAGTTTTTAAAAACCTATCCAGCAATTTTTACTTCACGTTTTGAGGGTGTGAACCGGGGTGTCCAACGACAGGGGTTCAATTATGTTAAATTCTTATCTTATATCAATAAAGATATATCCGTAGGCCTTCTTCTTTTGAGACGTCGTTCTACATTATTTTCTAGGATGTTGCGGATTTGTATATTCTCATGTTGGTGGATTCTTTTATCATGTTTGATCGAGTAAATTTTTATTTCTTCTTCAATTGTGGTTATATTTAAATCTCTGTGTAATGTGCTGCTTTTCACATACCAAGGTGCATTCGTTATTGTTCGAAGGATTTTATTTTGAACAGTTTGAATAATTTGATAGTTGCTTTTTTTGGTGCAGCCCCAAAGCTGAATGCCGTACGTCCAAATTGGTTTAATCATCTGTTTGTAGATTAACAATTTGTTGCATAAATTAACTTCCGAACTTCTTCCAAGTATCCAATGGAGCTTTCTTATTTTACTATTTAATTCTTCCTTTTTCTTTTTGATATGGGCTTTCCAGTGTAACTTCGCGTCCAGAGTCATGCCCAAGTATTTCGCCTCGTTTGCAACTTTAACTGGTTGGTGATTTATTAAGAAATTAATATTGTTTATTTGCCTGTTTGTGAAGTTTACATGAATAGATTTATCTTCGTTAATCTTGATTCTCCCCTTTTTCATCCAAATTACTACCCTGTCAAGAGTAAATTGAACTTTTGCCGAGCTTTCATGGACGGTTTTAACTACTGCCAAGATGGCTGTATCGTCTGCAAATGTTGCTGTGGTGGTATCAGTAAATTGTGGGATGTCCATTGTGAATAACAGGTACAGTAATTAAAATAAAAAAATTTTCAGTAATTAAAATAAAAAAATGTATGTAAGTATTATTAACAAAACTGAGAACTATAAGTTAAGATAAATTTAATTTTGTATTTTTAGAAACAGAATTGTAAGCAATAAATCTCAACTAAACAGGATAAATGAAATAATGGAGGAGAATTCAGATATCGCAAGAAATGTTTGTTCAAAAACTTTTGAACAAAGAAATTGTTTCCTTGAAAAAGGAAGAAATAAAATTGAAAAAGCAACATTTTGAATTTTTGAAGAAACAAAAAGATATAGAAGCTGAAAATAGAAAGTCGAAACTCCAACTCAAAATAAATATGTATCTTAGAATTATTTTATAATTATTACTAATTATTGTATAATTATTTTATTTTATTTAAAACAAAACTTATCTGTCGCAAACTTTTTCTTTATTTTCAAATTTTCGATATGAATTTAAAATCTTTGAATCTGTCAAACAAAATAGTATATACATCATTAAAGCTTTTTTTATTTTATCGTTTGCCATTAACTTATCGGTTTTATCGGTTATCGGTTCATAATAGTACGGAAAAACGATAACAATACGATGTTGTTATCGCACATCGTATATCGGATTTTTTCATAATAAGAGCCAATAATATCCTCAAAACGACATTCTGGCACATCCAGCACTCATAGCAACGTGTTTGATTTTGTTTGAGTGAATACTTAAATGTTCGATATGTTGTGACAGCTCCGTTTAAGTTTTTCAAATATACATATGCAATTAACATACATACATGTGAAACACTTTCGAACTGTCAAGTGAATTAGTGGGATCTTAGTTATTAATTTCTGCCAGACAAAAATTGATTCATTAAGATTATTCTAAAACTTGGTGCGAAATATTATAATCATGGCATCGCAAGTTTTTTTATTATCACGAAATGTGCAGAAAATCGTCAAACCAACTGCGTTATTAAAAGTAATTATCTTGCTCAAAAAAAAAAAATTACGTAATGTTTGGTGTTACAAAATTGTATTTGGTAGATTTCCTCGTGAAAAATTGATTTCTAGATCACAGTTTTTTTAATTAGATTTTAAAATAAACTGCAAGAGACATAATATCTCTGAATAAACACATTTGAATTTTTTTGGTTTTTGTTTTAGCGGTATGCATCTGGTCATGCACCAAATCTTCATAAAGTTCTACTTAACGTACCAGCTACGGAAGTATCAACACTTGATAATGGACTCCGTGTAGCCAGCGAGGATTCAGGTGCAGCAACAGCTACAGTTGGTTTGTGGATTGATGCTGGGTCTCGTTACGAAACACCACAAAACAATGGTGTAGCCCACTTTCTTGAACATATGGCTTTTAAAGTATAGTTAAATGAAGGGCAAGTTGAAATTATCTTTAATTTTTAAAACTTATTTCAATATAGGGTACTGCGAAGCGCTCTCAAACGGATTTGGAACTTGAGGTCGAAAATTTAGGAGCCCATTTAAATGCATATACATCTAGAGAACAAACTGTGTTCTATGCTAAATGTTTATCAAATGATGTGTCCAAAGCGGTTGAAATATTAGCTGACATTATTCAAAATTCGAAACTTGGCGAAAGTGAAATTGAACGTGAGCGCGGAGTTATATTACGCGAAATGCAAGAAGTTGAAAGCAACTTACAAGAGGTTGTTTTCGACCATTTGCATGCTACTGCATATCAAGGAACTCCGCTAGGTCAAACCATTTTAGGTCCAACAAAAAACATAAAGTAACATAATTGTCTTCTCATTTAAAATCTTTTATAAAGCATTTTCTAAATTAAGGTCAATTGGAAAAAGTGATCTCAATGATTATATTAAATCACATTATAAAGCAGCACGTATTGTTTTGGCAGGTGCAGGTGGAATAAAGCACAACGATCTTGTAAAATTAGCAAATGAACATTTAGGAAAACTAGAAAACACATACGATGGAAAACCACCATCAGTAACTCCCTGCCGTTTTACAGGGTCAGAAGTTCGTGTGCGAGACGATGCTTTGCCCTTAGCTCATATAGCAATTGCAGTTGAAGGTTGTGGATGGACAGATCAAGATAACGTACCATTAATGGTCGCAAATACTTTGATAGGAGCATGGGATCGTTCACAAGGGGGCGGTGTAAACAATGCATCAAAATTAGCCGCTCATAGCGCAGAATCAAGTTAGTACTTATATTTTCATGGAATTATACAGCTATAAAGTTACGAATTTTCAGATCTCTGTCATAGCTTCCAATCGTTTAATACTTGTTATAAAGATACTGGATTATGGGGTATTTATTGGGTGTGTGATCCCCTTCAATGCGAGGTAAACTGCATGTACTTATTTTGACTGAAAACTTTTAAATAATTAATATTTAGGATATGCTTTACAATGTCCAAAGTGAATGGATGCGTTTATGCACGATGGTAACTGACAGTGAAGTGGAAAGGGCCAAAAACCTATTGAAAACAAATATGCTTCTTCAATTGGATGGAACAACTCCAATATGCGAAGATATTGGTCGACAAATTTTATGCTATAATCGTCGTATTCCATTACATGAACTTGAAGCTAGGATTAATCATGTTACTGCGCAAAATGTCAAAGATGTTTGCATGAAATATATTTATGATAGATGTCCAGCTGTTGCAGCTGTGGGTCCTGTTGAAAATTTACCGGATTATAACCGAATTCGTTCATCCATGTATTGGCTTAGAATCTAAATAACGTAAATAATTTGAATTATTAATAAAATTGATGTTTAAAATTTTTTTAAATTAATTTTCAAAATTTATCAAAGAAGAAATATGTATTTATATTTGTTGTATAAGAAAAGTAAAAAATATGAAAAAACGCTTTGAAAACTAACGGAAATTACGAGGTTTTTCTCTAGAAGTTATTAGTTCATCAGATAATCTTATCAATATATATTTATAAAAAACATAAAGAATAAATAGCAGGTACCCACCTACCTATGTATTATATTTTCCTCTTATGTACTTCTTTTGATGATCTACACTGATGGCACATAACCCATTAAAGACTCCAAAGCGAACCATTTTTTTTTATATTTTTTATTTGAATCAATTAGTAGTACAATTTCGTGAATACCTAATACTCACTAAAATTTAAAGGCCTTTATTATGTTAAATTACTGCCTAAGTAAATGCTCTTGAAATTTCTACCAGCACGAAAAATCTCAAAAATATTAAAACGAGTAATAAGTGTACATAATTGAAAATAGAAAAAAATTGTCAAGGAAATTGTCAAGTTTTCAAAACATAGTAATTTCTTGAGCATTTTTGTGCTTTTTTAACATTTGTAATAATATATGTAGTTACTAAGAAATATGTATAAACTAACATGCCAAACCGAAGACCGACACAATACAATACATGGTTTTATTTTCCCAACGAACAGTACAAGAACCATCAGTTTCATTATTCCAAAAACAAGAACTGGCTGTATGCAAACCGGCTCCATTTTTCTGCATTATCATTGCAGTCACAATATATTTATACGGCTTTTGTTGTTTGGTCAATACACTTAGGCAAGCTTCTACCACTTGTCCAGTCCAATTATTGACTTTATCATGTTGATAAGCGTTACCTCCAATAGTGCTTTCTATTGCCTCTGAAATTGTACAAAATGCTTATTATTATATATATAACGTATGTATATGTATATTATTTGTCATATATACATATATATTGTACTTGTAATACTTTCTAGTAAATTTTAAATTAAAAATTTTCACTCCAAATTGTGACATGAAAGTATAATTATTGACAAAATAACGCATCCCACTGCAATACATACCCTTAATTATTTTGCTGACATCATCTACTATAAATTGATTTTCGTCTCGAAGATCGTCCATTCTTCAATTTTTCGACCTTATTTAAGTTTATTTAAAATATGTGTGATTTAGCACTCTTTTTTAATAAGTAGTAATTACTGAACATTAAGAATTTGAAAAACTAAATTTATTTCTTTTTATTTCTTTTTTTTGTGTTAGAAATGCATTTACATTAGGTTCATTCAAAAGAAAATCGTAATAACTTGAGATTGATTACAAACCAGTTCTCTTGTTAAATTTTCAGTGTTCAAAAGGTTTTTTTTAAAAATATCCGTCACGTTTCAAAAAATTATCTGATTTTTTTCTGATAGCCAGTTTGTTTTTAAAAAGAGGCAGCAGTGTTGAAAGTACTTTATTGAAATTTCCTTCTGAAATTTATCATGGCCCTGATAATGGTCACTATTGTCTGCACTATTTAAAGATATTTTCAAAGCTTTTGATTCTGTTTCCCATGATTAGTTATTGAACAAACTATACAACGCTGGTTTTAGGGGCTTTGTTCTTAACTGGTTTGTTTCTTTTTTTATAAATCGTAGGCAGAAGGTAAGAATTTATGGTACCTTTAGCAATCTCACTTATATTAATACCGGAGTTCTTCAGGGTTCTGGGCCTTAATTACTGTTTACATGTACGAAAAAATCTAAAACTTAGTCTGACTATCTGAGTCTGGTAAAAGTCATATATGTAAACACTGTTAGATATCACAATTTGTTTGAAGGCAAATAAGAGATATTGCTTTATTCTCATCAGATTTACTGTAAAATTTTTAAAAGAAAAATTGCGATTTACATTTTGTTATTTTAGAACAACGGTCAATTGATTGCGTTCTGTGAGCCATGGAGGTGTTGGGTGATGACTGGTCTCCTGATCCTGATGGGATTTCGAGTGTGCTGCTGTGTAGATGCGCTGGTAGCCATGTTGGTCATCTTACTTCTTTCTTTAACCTATCGTTGGTGTCTTCTGTTTTTCCTTCAGCTTAGAAGTCGTACGTTATTCGGGTTCATAAGAAGGGTTTACGTTCTTCGGTAAGTAATTGTAGGCCTATTGTTAGTATGTCAGCTATTCCGAAGCTTTTTGAGGGTATTTTTGTTGTTGACACTGACCAGCATGGTTTTCAGAAGTCTATTGATACCAATTTGGTTGGGTTTTTCTCAGATACTATTGATATTATTGAGGGGGATGGCCAGGTCGATGTTATTTTTACAGATGTTAGTAAGGTCTTCGATACTATTCTGCATCAGGTTATACTGAGAAAGTTGGCTGGCGTGAGTTTTTCTCTTAGCAGCTTGATGTGAGTCTATTCCTATTTGACTTGCAGGTTTTATCAGGTTTCTTTCCGTTTTGCTCTGTCTGATGTATACTATTCAGGTCGCGCGTTCAGCAGGGTAGTCATGTGGGTCCTATACTTTTTCTAGTCGCGACTAACGACGCTTTTGGTTTTGTTGTGGGTTCCGCGCTTTATAGTTTTGCAGATGACTCCAGGATTGTGAGGACAGTTCGGTCAGAGGTTGATTGTCTAGAGTTGTAGAGGGATTTGTGTAGTTTTTGGGACTGGTGTCGGATCAATTTTTTGTTTTTCAGTTGTCCGGCATGATTATTGCCTTAACGGGGTGGTCTTGGGGTCATGCGTGATCGCAGGCTGGATTTTGGTGTTCGTTTGTATCCTTGGTAGGGCTAATCCGAAGCTGGGTTTCATAATCAGGCTAAAGAGTTTATTATTCCGTATGTTACGAAACATTTTTATGTGTCCTTTGTTAGGCCAATTCTTAAGTATGTTTGTCAGGTTTGGGCGCCCTTTCGTGTTATGGATATTTCTCGTACTGAGTCTGTTCAGAGGAAATTTTTGCATTTGGTTTTGAGAGGTTTTGGCTGGTCTGATACTTCCCTGTATCTCGGAAACCGTTGAGTTTTGATAACTCATTTTAAACAAAAATTTTGCCCATTTTTGATTCCCTAAATAACGCCATATATTTAACATTGCTCTCTTTACTGAATTACCCTAATCGTAGTGAAATTATTAAATTTTGATGCTGAGTCTTATATAATTTCATTTTGATATATAAACTGACATCAGACTTTAATGTAGATTTAAGCTTGAATTTTGTATATGTAAACAATAGAAACTAGTTAGTTTATTATGTATACAGTACACGGCTGACAGCAATGCGTTTAACTACAATAAATTTTTTTTAATGTCAAGATACAGTATCTTACTAAGATACTCTATACATAATACGGACAATTCCGTTAATCTAAAAACATTTGAATAGATAAGGAATTCTATTAGGGGGATAAAAGTAAATTCTACTGCCAGTTTACTATATAAAAAAATAACCAAAGCAGTGAACGACAACTTCTGCATGGAACGGTAAAATGAATTGTACAGTATTTTGCATCTGATGTTGCATACACATGAAAACAGCGTTCCCACTTGGATACAATTGTATCCATTTGGATACATTTTTGCTTTAAATTTGAGCTTGGATACAAAGATACTCAAATCTGCTAAAATGCCGAAATTGGCTACATTTTAAAATTTTGCTGAAATATGGATACATTTTTTTTCAAACACTAAATAAATATTACAAAACAGTTGAAATGCTGCTAATATTAAACCGCGAAGTTGCTTTATCTTCAATAAATGTTATTTGCTGACTATTCTAAGCAAATTTGTCCGTTTTCATGGTCAATCGTCTTTACCGCATAGTTCAACAACTACAGAAGGCATATATGCATATATTTTTTCTGACCTTAACATTTAAAATATAATAGAAGTTGTATGTGATTTCTTAAAGAATTTACTATAAATAACAAAACTCATATTGTGGAATAAAGCAAATTAATATTAATTATGGGTTAATTTGTACAAAATAAGACGACTTATTATAATAATGCTATTTTACGAGGTTGGATACATTTTGGATACATTTTTTTCTCGAAATTGGATACATTTTGTTTTTACCGAGTGGGAACACTGCATGAAAACAAATAATGTTAAAAAAGACGCTATCGGTGAAGTAATAATGAAAACAAATAATGTTAAAAAAGACGCTATCGGTGAAGTATCCCAAATTTTTATTTTAGATATTTCACCGTCAGCTGTGAAATTTGGTTCTGTAAATTCATATTCTATTTGAATTCTGACATTTCCCCGGAAAATCGCTCTTGTTTTTTTTTTTAACTTAAATTGTCAAAAATGTACATTCGCCATCCGCTTTTCGCAACAGCCTTTTGCAAACGTAATTTAACATTTAATTTTTCGTGACTTAAACCTCAGAAAAATCAGAGACAGTTTTTCAGATTAAAGAATATACAAAAAACTTAATTTGTTTTTTACTTTTTTTATTTAGATTACAAAACCAGTTTTTACTAAAAAATTACTTATAATGTCAGACAAAAATTTAATTGAAAATGTAATTCAAAAAAATAAAGGTTATGTTCCCATTTTAGGAAAGTGAATTTATATAAATCCATATATAATTATTGAAATAATTTTATTTAAATATTGCAGTGAAGTTTCAAAATGGAATTCTTAACGATTACGGTACTTTCAAAACTGGAATTGTTTTAGCTAACAACAAAAATTTAAAAAAAGATGAAGCTGTATTTTCAATTAATAAGCATATTTATCACGGGCCGATTGAACCAGATGAAAAGCAAGCCGTGAATTCCTATATTGCAGTCAAAAGAAGGAACAAAGTACATAAGTGTAATGTGTTATTTCCACATTTATAAATATTTTTTGACATTCAGATTCACTTAATGGAAATTGATCAATGTACATTGATACACGATATTCACTCACACCATGATTGCATAGAAAAAATTAATAACAAAGAATTGGCAATGAGGGTATTAATGAAGAATTTTGGGGGTAAAAAATCTAAAGTCTATTTTGAAAGGACAGAAAGATCTAAGGTAAATTTAGAAATAATTAAATCCCAATTAAATAAAACCATAGAAGAAACAACATTACAAGACGATAACGATAAGACTAGTGAACTTGAGATTGTTCCACCATATAACAAAAATGCCAAAAACTCTTCCGATATATATATTTTAACAAATATTTTAGAAGAAGATTTTTTGAGTAGTTTGCAAGAAGAAGCAGTTGCAGTTTTCAATTACAATACAGAAGATTTACCGTAAGTATCTAATACAAATATGAAGAACATAAATGTGTACGATCAAGTCATTAACCCGAATATTTCTTAGGATTTCATCGCAGTATATACTTAAAGAAATTAGAAGAGTAAAAGATGTCATGCCCAAAAGCCAATGTTTCACGTTTTTGAAAGTATTAATTTATTTAGATGGTTTATTAAATTACATAAAAATAAAAAGAAGAAATATAGATGGTGTGGAATTATCGAAAATTTCAGAAAAAATTTCAAACGATATACGCCGACGATTTGCTCCAAAAGATTTACTTAAACCGTAAGGAAAATAAAGAAAATTGACAAAAGCAACCATAAAATCTTTTTTGGTGAAATTTTCATAAAATATTTCTTGCTTTTAGTTATACCATATATATCTATAAATATATATGGATAGATATACATATATGACATTACTTTTAGTGTTTTAAAGTTGTTTTTGTCAAACACTAAAACTATTATGAGTTTTAATATATGACAGAAATTAATTTAAAAAATCTCTAATTGTAGGCTAAGAACAACTATTTCCACTGATAAAGCAATATGTTACTTCATTGTGCTAATTATGTTAATTCAACCTGACTATGAAATCGACATCAATATACTTACCACAGAAATTGGGCGACCCAAAAATAAAGTTAAAAGTTTATGCAGTGCGGTTTTTGCAAAACAGAAACAATTTTCCGACATGCTGTGTTTCTCGTTAGCGAATAATAGCATAAAAGGCAAACACCGTATGGTAAAGCGAAAAACCTTATGAAAAAAGTTAGTTACTGCTTAAAATTTAAGTTTGATAATATAAAACATTCTTTTGGGAAAGTTCAAATACTTTTATTTTAATATTATAAGAATATTTACCAATATTTTTTTAATTAATACCAAAATTATAAAAAATACAATTGTTTAAGAAATATTTAGGTCTGAGTCCTAATTATAATCGTTATAACTAAATTACTCTAAATTATAATCGTTATAACTATTAAATAAAATCTTAACTGAAAACTTTGTTTTGCATATCAAAAATGAATAAGTATTGTACATGTATTAACATTCTTTAACAGCTTAAATATCAGTACAATTATGCATATGCATTGCAATTGTTTGACTTATCTTTTTATTCTCAATTTTAACAAAATTTTAAAAGCACTTCAAGAGATTGATAAACAGTTTAACCCGTAACATTAAATTTTGTTTTCATCCCAAAGGAAACACATGCATGCTACAGTATTCCTAATTTTACTCTTTATGCTCTGAAAAAGGTAACAGTTATGTTATTTAAAAGAAAAAAAAATGACTTATTAATTTAAAATGTAGTCACCAGGGAAAGGTTTAATTTTCTAAATATGAATGTGATAAAATTTTGTGTAATAGATAGAAGTGTTTATAAATAACTCACGGAAAGAAAAGTTGACGCGTTACATATCGTTAATTTTCTAAATAATAAATTAAAGTGCGTTTAACTCGTACAGCATTCATTTCAATACCAGTTACTTTGCTATATAATCAAAAACGCATGCTATAACATATTAAAATAACCCGAATGTGGAAATGAATGCTATAAATTTTTTTTTATTTTATAGCACAAACATTTTTTATTTCTAACCAACAGATTTGTATATATCTTTCTCGATACAAGAGTTACAGTAAAAGTGCTCTTAAATAACTCAGGCAAAGAAAGGTTAACCTTTTAATAATCATAATTTATATCAAATAAAGTTTTATCAGGACCATTTATTTATATCCTCGACAAAATTTAAAAATTCTTTTAATGAGTAAGAAAATTGCCTACCTACAAAACTAACCAAAGTTAAAAATTTTATTCTTGAATGTAAATTGAATTATGTATACGTTTGCATATGAAATAATTTACATTAACTTTAAAGCCTCTGAACTGCTCAATATTCAAAACCCTATGGAGAATCATGTGTGTACGACATTGGAATTCCACACAACCCTTTAGCAATTACTGCTGGATCGGTTTCACCTAAATTTTGCTCCAACCCTTTCCAAGATCTATCTTCAAATGATGTAGCAGTACTTTCTACTAATTCGTAATTTTTTTTTTCCAGGAGAACCCTACTGGTATTTTCAGCATCATCATCGTTTGAGATATCCATATGTCGAATTTTTCCAGAAACCAAACTCATATCGTTTTTTTGAATTTTTTGAGGGTCTATCTCATTGTAGAACGATCCATTAGGCAAGAGCTCTTTAAAATCTGTAACGTACTTTTCAGGAAATTTACATAGCCAAGCTGGATTTAGAGCTAATTCAGCTTCGAAAATAGATATTATGGGTTTATAAAATTCTTTTGATGTGTATATGTTGTTGAAAGGGCAACCAACCAAAACGAAACAATCAATTTCCATAAAATTTGCTAACTTAGCTGAGTTTATACGACCAACAGATAATATATAACTCCGAATACCATGGGCACGTGCCAATTGTTGTATATGCTTAACTATATCTAAATATCCATCAGCGCTAAGAGTTGCTACAACAATGCCTAGTCTTTTTGCATCTTTACATTTTTCTATATAATAGTAACGGCGCCGAATAAACGTGGTTGTAATTGGATTTATTTCTTTAAGTAAAGCTTCTTCTGAGTTATATAAGTACCAATTTGAAGCTATAATTAAAAGAAATATAATTTGTGCTTACTTGTTCATAAAGTATTGAAACATTTTAATAATACATACCTGATTCAGTCATCGTCAAATTGAAAAAATGTTGATCGTCCTTGCCAACAAATATTTTGATAACGCTGTTTTCGGAATTTTGTTTTTCCCTTGAATTCGGATACTTCTCCAGTGTAATACTGAGTTTAGGTACACTATTTTTAAAATCTAAAAAAGCCTCTCAAAATTATGCAATAATACAGGAGGAATATTGTGGATGCTTACCTTTTATTAAATTTTTATCTAAAAATGAGAAAAATTAATCTATTATAAATCACATTATTTTATGTGTATTGCATAATTTTACAATAATTTATATGTTCGTATATAAAAACAATAAATTCTTTCTTAACAAATTATATTGTTTATACAATATTCGTTCATAATATGTGTACCTCAATAGAAATACACATACTATTTGCAGGTTTTAAATAGTATGATAAAAGGAGGAATAATATGAATCTTCAAAATAATTGTACAAAAAAGAAAATCAATAATTAAGAGACGTGATGTTTTATTTTATCAATATTTTACTAAAAATGTAAATGCAATTAGAATTAAGTGAAAAGGAAAAAACTGGAAAGATCATATAGATACAGCTTCAAACATGGATGATTTTTCATATTACATTCAATTTTCAAAATTTAGATATTTATCATTATCAAACTTACCGAGAAGATGATGGTAATCTTGACTGAAATAGATGAAAATTTCTTTTTGTTTAGTGGAACTTTCCAATTTATTCAAATCATCATACAATTTTTTAAAATCTAAATATTTTTGTGCGAAAATGTATAAAACACTTAGTCTAGAGACCTTACTCTGACAAGCATTTCCAAAGTGAATAATTGAGTCGGCATTCACATGCGCAGCCCCAATCTATTGAACAAAATGAATAAAATACAAAAATATTTTAGTTACTAAAATTTGTAATTAGGAAAATTTTACTTCATCGACACAGCAACTTCCGTAAGATGTGTCAGCTAATATATATATTTTTGCTTTATTTTTTAAATCATCATGAATTTTTGCACTAAAGGGTAGATAATTATCAGGAAACTGAAGGCAAACCTTAAATAATTAATATTAAAATTTGGTATTAAAATTAAAAGACCAGAAATTATATTTGAAATACACACATTTTTTAAATTATTCTTTTCTATCCAATCTAAACATTTTGATCGATTAACCTCGGTCCATATCTCTTCAAATTTTACTTCCTCTTCTATGATTTCAACATTTCTTTCCAAAAAAGCGTTTTCGGGTGAAAAAAAAGCTGAAGTAGACATAATTTAAAAAAAAAATGTTAATTTAAATCAATAATTCTGCTGGTTCGATTTCAAAGATCGTTGAATCGGTATCTATTGTATTTTTTTATGATATGTCACATAAATTGTCAAGTCAATTTGTTGAAGTTTTATTCAAATTATTCTATGACATAGGTACGTGCGCATTAAAGATGTACATAGCCCATTATTACAATGGGCTTCATAACTGTTTACACATACGATAAAACCTACGATTTATCCAACAAATTAAATATATTAAAGGAAGGAGTATCTTTGCTTCTATCTAATTTTCGTTTCTAAATTGTATATTGAGAAAAGGTGTAAAACCACTTGTACAACAGAAAAAATTAAATTTAGAATCAAACGTTACCGCGAAAAAAACCTTGAAATTTTATATTACTGAAAACTCGCAGTTGTCATTTTCAATACGAACGCGAGGTTTAAAAGGGATTAAAATTTGGTTAAAATTATGTATGTACATAATTCCGCAAAATTATAAATAATTTTACAAAGGTAAAAAATGTAAAAAGTGTATACACTAGTTAATTTATAATTATAAAAATAAATAAAAATTAGTAATATACATCTTTAAAAATGAATACATTTCGTTCCACTCATTTGCAATACATATGTTTATTATTTACTTTATTTTTTTCTGTTAATTCATTACAACATTCTGTTCAAAAACTGATGTTCTTAAAATTAAATAAAGTACGTTAAAATATAATTGTTTTCTTAAATTAAACCTGATTTGAAATCAATTTTAAAAAAATAATCTATTGAGGCAAATGCCTTACTTTCTATTCGGTGTTAATAATAACTCCAAACTACTACGCCAAAGTTCTCGACACTATTTTTTCTGAGACAAAATGCTACTCTATAACAAGTTCAAAATAACAACTCTGGTCGTAATACTTTTTTTCGGGGATAATATAAAAATGGTATTCCATGATCTGAAAATTTTTTAAACTAGGTTGGGTTAGGTTTAGATAGAAAAACTGTGTTTCTTTTCGCATATTGTTTATTAATTGTGTATGCAAAGGGTCAAAATTACAACTAATAATTAAAACAAATTATTTTTTTACGAAATATAAATTTTACGGTACATTATAAGCGTGTACATATGTATGTATATTGAAAACTTACAAAATATCATTCATGTCGAAAGAATTAAGTGTCCTTTTAATTTTAATTTTAAGAAAAAAAAATTTTATCAATATTTCGAGAATAATATCTCTCCATTTCTTCTTCTTGTTTCATTTACACTATTTCGATTTGTGTTTCCAAAATATTCTTTTGTTTAAATAGCTTGATTGAATAAAAAAAATTTTTTTTTTTTACTAATATTACCTCTGTTAGTTGTTAACTTTTAAACTCAGATTATTTTTGTTTTCGCAACGTCAAATACGTTTTTTTTGTTTTTCTTTTTTACCAGTAAATAAGTTTTCATTTGATTTTCACACTTTCAAAAAATAAATATTTTATTTGTATCTTGGAATAGGCATATAAGCTTTTTCTTATTTTAATTTTTATTTTCACAAAACATGTAAAGTGCTTTTCCTCGTTTATAAAAATCACAAAAATATAAATATTGTTAATGATGAAAAAGAAATTTCAGAACTTTGACGGTGAAATACTCTAGGACGGCCATTCACGGGTCATTTTAGGGTTTCCGCTTATTGTTTCGGCCCGCACAATAAAAAAACTTAAACTACCAATTATACTCAAATTTTGATTTTTATTATCAACATAAAAAATATAAAACATACAAATAATACAGTCATACAAAAAAATATAATATCAATTTTTAAAGAAATTTAGAAACGGTTTTCTGTTTCTAAGTCTTCGAAATGTGGTTGAATTTAATTCGCAGTTGTAATTTTTAATATTGGTGAAAAATGTTGACGGCCCGCACAATAAAAAAACATAAACTACCAATTATACTCAAATTTTGATTTTTATTATCAACATAAAAAATATAAAACATACAAATAATACAGTCATACAAAAAAATATAAAATCAATTTTTAAAGAAATTTAGAAACGGTTTTCTGTTTCTAAGTCTTCGAAATTTGGTTGAATTTAATTCGCAGTTGTAATTTTTAATATTGGTGAAAAATGTTGACCTGTAAATCTTGATTTTTCAGCCGTTTTATTATTTTTTAATATCCAAAACAATAGTTCACACAAATATATGCTTCTTGAATGTTTTATACTTCTATGTTTATACTTCTTATGTTTTATGAAGTATAAAACTGAAATTTTATTATATTTTTAAATATAATATTATTTGATGCATCGATTGTTTCGAAATTTTATATGCGCCTACTTGTGAATATTTCAATATGTAACAAATTTGAAAATTTTCAAAATTTTCCCAAAAAAAAATGCCATTTTTAAATTTTTCTTATCTTTGAAATTTTAAACAAAAAAAAACATAATATGCAAACACAAAAATGCCATAGCCAAGTGCCAGAAAATCTTGCATAGCTTATGTTTTGAAGGTTTTGATAACCTTACATAATCTTGAGCCTTATTCTTGTTGTCGCGTCACTTACGTGACATTTGTCGTTTTTGCTGTCACACAATTTGAAATGTGGTATTCTGGTTGTCGAGTGACGTGGTGCGAGAAATAATCGAAAATGAAACGTTTCAAGTGAAATTGATACATTTTAAAAAGAAATTTCGCCGAGTAAAGTTCATACTAAAAAAAAATTTCAGTGTATATAATTATATACAGTGTATTTGAAACAAAACCGACTTCAAGAACATTTTCTGACAACTTCAAGAACATTTTCTGATAATTGAGTCTATCTAAACTTTCTGATAAATGTAATAGTCGAATGTATTTACAATATAATACTCGTTTGTTACTAAAGCCTATTGTATATATGTAAATTTATAACGCATAAAGAAAAAAAAACACCAACTGTATAAATAAATAAATAATAACACTCTGTACGAGCTGAGGCTCTTTTTGAAATAAATTTGAAACTAAATAAATAAAATAAATATATTTTTAAATAATAAAAAATGTCATTTGCATTATGGTTTACGAATTCATCTCATTCCGGTAGTGCTGAAATTAAAAAAAAACAACAATTAAGGATCGAAAGATTTAAGATTAGCGACAGCTTTAATCCATTGAATTTGCCAAATTTTTTCTAGTAAATTAGTTGCAAACATTTTATTTTATTCACAGATTTATAAACTATTGCAGACTTCCAAAGGAGGCCTTTGTATATTTACTGAATATATTCGAGGGAAAAACGAGCACCCGTAAAAGGCGTTCTCTGTCATGAAATTTCCAATTCTTCAAATTTATAAATATTTTCACGCTAAAAACAAAAATTAAATTATATATTTTATGACTTGATTTATGTATAAAATTAATTTTTTTATGATTTTGTTAAATTGTTTTGTTTTAACCTGAATTTTTGGCGTATTCTTCTTTCTTGTCACTTGTAAATACTTTTCGACAAAAAACGTCGTTTCGCTACGACAAATCTCGCATCAGAACGACAACTGGAATATGGCTGAAACACATTTTGCCGCTATTCCCCGACGATTGTCACTGCGATCGCCGCTTAGAATATCAAATTCAAGTTGTAACAACAATTGTCGCTCTACTTCGACAACTAGAATAAGGCTCCTTGCTTTTCTTAAATTAAAACTTGAAAGTAAATTTGATTGAATTTTAATGGAAAAAAATTGAATCCCTTACTAAATTAAAAACATTTAATTTTTAAATTTGACATTCTGAGAACTTACTCCAATATTGAAAATAAAAAATATTTTGTTTTTGTAACTGTGTTATTTTTATAGAATATTGCCCTTTCGATATCTCGATTATTTTGAATGTGTTGAATTATTCACTTACTTTCAAAATTGACAATGTCAAAATTTCCAAAAAGTAGCGGTTTTGAATTTTAGTTTTTGTGTAATAAATCAATTAAATTTCAATAAGCAAAAAGTTGCCAAAGGAAAGTTCTTTTTTTTAATACATAACCTTATTATTTTATTTAAAATGTGGTAGGATACAAATAGAAATAAAAACTTTATTTTTTTTTTGTTTTTATTGCAGTTTTTTTTTTCTTTTTAATTTTTAAAATAAGAATGGGTGTTATACAAAAAAAATAAGCAAAAGTCATGGTGTGAACGTAGCTTTTAGCTACGATTACTTTATGGATTTTGAGTCAGGAGTGAATAAATAGGAGTAAAAAACTGCAATCCTGAACAAAACGATGACTCCAATTTGCGTTGAGTCGATATCTAAATTAGAAGAATTTAAGTTGTCTTTCAAAATTGAAGTATGATTTGTTTGCTTCAGGACTTTGTTTTGGTCAACGGGAACCAAAATCGAATTTTTTGGTAACTTTTTTTGTTGTATTCGTATTATGGCTAGTTGGACAAAAAAGACTCCAACGGGTCAAACTCCAAGGAGAAGATGGAATATTGAAGGTAAAATAATTTTATTTCTAGTTCTTGAATTAAAACTAGCTGTTAAACAGATCGTGCTTCGCTTAATAATTTGAAATACCACTTTGCATCGGATGGCTGCTCTGATGTACAATATGATTTGGCAAGACAACTTTTAGAAAACAGTTCCGGTATCTAATTTTAAATTTAAAATATACCTCTGCGACATATTGATATGAGTAAAGTTTCAGATTTAAATGAAACAACGGAATCTCATATTCAGGGGGTACATTGGTTATTATGTGCCGCTCAACAAGGTCATGAAGGAGCTTTAGAATTATTAAAAGACTGTTTCAAAAATCGTAGAGGAATTACTGATAGTAATGAAAGTGATGTAAAATCTTGTTTATATATGACACCCGGCGAACGAGCGGCTAGAAAAGCAGCTCGTGATTTATTTGCTTGTTTGTCTAATGGAAATGAACATATTACCCCAGGTCAGCTAGAAAGAAAAATGCGAGAAATCTATAACCTTCAGAAAAAACGTCGTCGCTCGAAACTCAATGAGCGTCCGCTAGATTCAGTAGAGGACGAAACTCAAGACGAACTAGAATTCAAAGGAAATGCAGAGAGGAATATACACTTAAATGGTGATATATTTCCTTCACTCAACCACTGCAGAGTAGAATTAAACATATCTCAAGAAAATTTAATAACTGAAGCTAATTTGGTAGCTGCTGCTGTAAATTATTCAAGAGGGTATCTGCCAAGAGTAAATGGATTATATACTCTTTCAATTCCACATCCAAATTGTTTAGATCATATTCCATGTTTTCATAGAATGATTTTCCATCCTGTTATATTTGTTACATTGCTATATCACCATTTTATAAAAACTATAACATCATTTCCTAACAATATATCGTCAGGCATGCAAATATTGTCCATTTTATTTGTATATGCAATAATTTCAACCGACAATTTAATGGTAATTGTATTTCATATTTTTTTGTAATTTGTAACGGTTTTCTTTTATTGTCAGGTCTATATTCCCATGCAAGTTTATTATATCAGCTTAATAATAATGGTATGGTCAACCTTTAAAATGCTGAAAGTGAAGCATGATTTTATTGATTTCAGAATTTGGTCCGGACTGTTTTTGAGTTATGGTGATAACAACGTTGATGCGGGGGGATCTGAGAATCAGTTTTTAAAAAACAATCTTAAGCCATATGCAATTTTTTTTTGTGCTTTTATAATTAACTTAATAACGTTTCCCGTAGTTAGCAATGAATGGGTTCCATACTCGGAAATAACATTAGTTGCTTTTATTTTAATTTTTGTTACCATGACAGCATTTATGTACACCGCACCGAAAGGCTTTCCAGATTGGTTGATTATGTTTTCTTTTGGAATAAATGTGCTAGCTAAATATCCATATGAAATGGATTCAGTAGTAACTATAGGTTGGAGGTTTTTGGATTTAAAAGTTCCAACTTTTTATTCATTTGTTATCGGAAATGGAATTGAATTTTGCTTGAATTGCCGAGTTTTATTATATTTATTTATCCCATTTTGCTTGATTAATTTGGCAAAGCGATTAGATTGGCAAGGCATATACACTTTCCTCATTCCACACTGTGTAACTTTGGCTTGGTTGCAAATTTGTATAATGAGCTCCCAATCAGCAACAATGTTTGGATTAATGAGAGCAACTCTAGGTTTAGCTGGAATTATGCTGTTCTTACCGCTTTTCGGTATCATAACTTTGATGATTCCCATTTTTGTTATGATTGATTGGTTGGGTTTAACTGATCCCAAAGTAAGGATGGCATCATCAGTAACTGCGGTTTTGATGGCTACATTGATATCGTGTGCAATGGCCATAAATCATCGTACACAAAAGTATATTACTATATTGCAGGTAAGATTTTTACGATTATATTCAATTTCTTAGAAATGGATAATAAAAAACTTTCAGATCACTTTGTTTGTTGGAGCTAGTGTGTTGTTAACGTTACCTTATATGACAGCAAATTTTTCAACTACTCATATATCGGAAAATTCAGCCTTTAATGAATTGTACGTTAAAAATCATCGTTCAAATGGGCTCGCAATGAATTCAGGTTATTCAGGTTTTGACGAAGAGTTAAAGTCTCTGACTTGGGAACATTTTTATAATTATTGCGCTCAACCGGCTTGGGAGCACTCAAATAAAATTAAAACACAGCTGCGCTGTTCTCAACTCGAGGGTATACATGTTAAGTGGGAGGGTATTGTATCCGATATTGAAATAGTTAGAATATCAAACTTTAGAGCAGAGTTTATCAAAAAGTATATGCCAAATTGGATACGTAATTTTTTGTTTTGCGCATATGGAGAAAAAAACAAATATCATTGTGCCGAAAATGAAGATTGTGAAGAGTTACGACAGCTTCTATCAAATCAAAAATTTTGTAATATGAACAACTGGAACATGTATGAGTACGAGATTGAATTAAAAATGCAGTCAGGTCTCTTAAGTCGGCCAACCACTTTGTATTTAAAAGTAAAGCATCATTTTGGAAATTTTACGAATGAGTTACGAATTTCAGATAGAATATGGTTTTCTGGAAAATTATTAAATATTCGCAATGGGAAATTAATGGACTATCCTCAAGATATGATATTAGGCTCCGGAAAGCCTGTTGTTGAAATTGACGGGCTAGGATGCGTTTACTGTCATAATAAAGATCTTACATCTATTGAGCTGAGGGCAAAAAATGAAGTTTTTGATGCAAGAATGCGAGATCTTACGCGCGGTGTTAAATATTTGTTGAATGCGATATTTAACCCTCTCATTATTTTCAAATAAATTAATTATAAAGTAAACAGCCAAATTTAAATGTTTGCTGAAAACGTTTATAATAGTTCTTTTAAAAGAAATTAATTTTGCTAATATGTCCTTTTTTGTAAAAAAATTGAAGCTATGTATATGTATATTTTTTACTTGTATCTGCAACGTAAATAATATGAAAGAAGAATATTGCTTTATAGTTAATTTGTAAAAATTAAGTGCATACTTATGTAAATTTAAATGGTCGAATTTGATCAGAAATTTAAAAGCAGTTAAATACATTGGGTATTCAGTATATCAAACTAAAAAGTATTAAATAGTGTTTTATTTAGATGCATACATATGTATGTGCGTGTAAAAAAAGTCAAATATTACAATATGATTTATCGTCAATATATTAATGCCTAATTCTTAATATTTACCAGTAGTTTTGAAGAAGTTTATGTTGCATAGGAAAATATTTACATGTGTATATGCCTTTCGGTTGCAAAGTTAAGGCGTGAACCTAGACATAACAGAAATACGGAACTGACGCTTGGACAATGCTCAGCTCCTTAGGTATTGTTAACCGATACGACAAAACCTTAGATTAAATATACGTATACCGTTTACATATACGACAAAACCTTAAGTCGCAATTTACAAATAAAATATTGTGATTTATTACAAATTGACTTCCATAATTGAGCTCGTAATTTTAGGTTTTGTTTAAGAAGAAAAAACTTTATTGAAGTTATTTGTGTTATATTTGTTAAATTAACAACATACCGGAATTGTTTTTAGAATGTACATACATATATAAAAGAAAGTAAAATTTATATGAATCCTCTAAAAAGCCAATAAAGCTATGATGTAACATTTTTACGTTTTGCCAAAACCATTCTTTAATAAAAAGTCATATATGCATGTATGTATACATTATATTTTTTTTTAAATACCAAGCGAACTTTTACAATAAAGAAAGTACATAATAGCAAAAAAACAGTTGCTGATTAGTAATTGTTCCTAAAAAATATGAACATTTTTTAAATTTAAAAATTTAGTTAGGGTCTAACTACTTACATATGTGACTATGTACATTTTTATGTATGTATATATTATTTTATTTGCATTAATAAAATTTATGTTATTTTAAGTTTAATAGGTAGTAGGCTTGCGATAATAAAAAGAAAAGAATGAAAAGCAAGTTAAGAGAGAAGTTTAAAACAAGAAAAAATGCGCAATGTTATTTGCACATAATCTCTTAAAAGCTTTGAATATTTTGCAAATATGATTTTTTTTTAAATTAGTGATATTCACAATCTTATTGACATTTTGACCTTATACATAAATACATTATGAATATGTTCATACACTCGTACATATGTATGTGCGTAATATAATGATTTAACGTATGTAGTATATGTACATATTTAAACCTTATAACTTAAATGTTAGACTTTGTCACTGTAATTGGAAATAGGAGCGTTACATAAAGCTATAGAAAAATACGCATGTATGTACGGATATTTCTTGTCATTATTAATACCTACTCAAATATCGTTAAGTGATGAACTTTAAAAAGGTATTACATGCATATAAAAGCTTAGTTTTACTGTTTTATAACTTAGTTCAATTTGTGCACTTGGCTTGTCAACAAAAATAAGTATCAATTAAATTGACAATGAGAATAGGAACAAAAGTACCAAATTTTAAAGCACAAACAACGCACGGTCCAATCGAGTTTCACAAATGGATGGACAATTCGTGAGTATTAACGAAATTATATTTTTTATTGGTATACACATATATTTATGTACATAGCGTACATGATTACGTAATATATAAGAATATACTTAAATGAATATTATATTCCTGTCTAAAAAAGTAAAGGAAATTTCATTTTTATGACTTTTATTTTTGATAGATGGGTGTTGTTGTTCTCACACCCGGCAGATTTTACACCAGTATGTACAACTGAACTTGGTCGGATAGCTGTACATAAACCACATTTCGAAAAAAGGAATGTTAAAATCCTTGCTCATTCTGTTGATGATTTGAAGAGTCATGTTGATTGGGTTAACGATATAAAATCTTATTGCTTAGATATTCCTGGTGAATTTCCATATCCAATAATTGCCGATCAATCACGTGATTTAGGTAGGTAACATTATTATTAAAGTGAATTGTTATATATTCATCTGTATATAATCCTTAAATATTTAGCTGTTCAATTTGGAATGTTGGATGAAAAACAAAAAAATGATCCAGAAGTAAGATGTTTACAACATCCTATGATTTCTTGAAATAAATTCTTCATAACACATATTATATTTCTTCAATAGATCGCAAAAACAATCCGTGCACTTTTTATTATTGATCCCGACAAAGTAGTACGACTATCTATGTTTTATCCAATGTCAACTGGACGTAATGTAGAGTAAGATTAATCCAATCAGTTAAAATAAAATCTTATATGTATTACTTATATTAAAAATAAACAAATTTTAGTGAAATCTTACGTTGCATCGATTCATTACAATTAACAGACCGTTTAAAAGTAATAGCAACACCAGCTAATTGGATGGTAAGTGTTAAAAATTTAAATACACATTTCCAATTACTTATTCTACTAATTTTTTAGCCTGGAGAAAAAGTAATGATTTTGCCTGAGGTATCAGATGCAGATGCCGACAAACTCTTTCCTAAAGGCATTGATAGGGTCAAAATGCCATCTGGTCACAACTACGTAAGAACGACAACTAATTATTAACTTTACTCAATATTTTGAAAATTTGTTTCTTAAAGTTAGAGATGAGCTTTAAAACAAATACATTTTTATTGAACTTGGAGCATTTAGAGTTTCTCAGTTCTAACTTTAAAAGCTAAATTTTAAAACATGAAAAATGAAAATGACAAGAAATTAAAAAGTTCAAAAGATACAGTTGAAACAAAAATAAGTTTTTTTGATATGTGTATGAAACTTCTTCAATTCTTTTAAATTTTATACTATTTTATATTTCAATTTTAAATAAACTTTTAAATGTTTTCAATATTTTCCAATTTTTGAGTTGATACAAGTTATTCCACCATATTTTCAAAAGGGTTTAAAACAAGCTCGAAACATGGTGCCAAAGGTGCATTTAATTTTGAAAGTTGTACATCTAAATCTAAACGTTTTCATTAACCTCATTTGAGTAGGGATTTGCGTTCACATTCTTTGGCTTTCGCTTTTTCATTCGATTTGAATTTTAGACATTTCAAGTTGTTTTGAAGCTTTTTGACATGTAAATAATACTGAAATTGGAAGAATCTTAAATTGTTTTGACATATTTTCATATATTTTGATTTACCAGTAAGCACTAACAACTAAAAAGTATTTTGATATACTTTTGCTTCAATGTGAAGATCTCTAAGTATTCATATATTTTAAATTATTCAACATGCTTTTTTATATTTTAAACATGCTTAAGAAGGTACATAATAAGAGAGACATTTATCATGATTGTGAACAGGTAAATTAAGTCCGTAAATATTCTAGATTATAAATTTCACCAGAATTATAAAACGTAAAACAAATATATGTGGTTTCACATAATTTAAGACAGAAAAATTTGGAAAACCTGCCAAATTGGTTCGTCTTTATAAACATTTAGAAGAAAACGGAAAGAAAAATTTAAGCTGAGCAACGGCGCTTAACAAATTGTTCAAGAAGAAGAGGGAAATCATATATGAAATATTAATATGGAAAGAAGAATAAGATTACGTACTTTAAACACTCATATAACTTGCAAAATATGTGGAGGCTACTTCATTGATGCAACCACAGTCACTGAATGTTTACATACATGTAAGTCTCGAGAGTATTTAATTTTATATATCGGGAATTTGAATTGAATATTTTTCAAAACAAAGTTTTTATTGAAAAAATTAAACACACAACATAATTTTAGTTTGCAAAAGTTGTTTAGTAAAACACTTGGAAGAAAAGAAAACTTGTCCGACATGCGAGAATGTTATTCATCAGTCACATCCATTGCAATATATAAGTTTTTGTATTAAGTATATAAACTAGTACCGAATCTGCAAGAAAGTGCGTTGATATATTTTGCATTTTAATATGAACTTTTTGAAAAGAAATATTTCTTTTTAGATGAAATGAAGAGGGAAAGAGATTTTTATAGAAGTCGTAATATAGCTTGTCCAAAAGATTTACTACAGAATCATGAAGATGATGATGACAAGGTTAATGAAGCACATGCTGAATCCGGCTATCATAGTTTAGATGAGCTAGTTAATGTTTGTTTAGAGTGTAGTAGTAACAATTTAAAAAATTTGCAATGAAGGTTTTCTAGGTGTAGTTCTCAATCAACTATCACTCATTTAAAGAAATTTTTAGCAAAAAAAAGTTTTAAATGGAATAGAAAAATATAGAGAGGTATAAATCTTTTTCAATATCAAAATAGGCATAACAAATCTCAATGACCAATGATTTGAGACCTTGAAAACGTGAAAGTATGTGAATTAAAATTAGCACTTTGTGCAGAAAATCGCGAATATATATATGTACGCATTTAAATTTATTGTCAAGTTTTATTTTAGTTAAAATAAATTTAAGGGCTCTTTGAAAATTAATATAATTGAGAATTGACATATTCTGTTTTGCCTAATATTTTGAAATATTTGTGAAATTTCAAATAATTATTTATTTTTTAGATTGATATTTTATGCAATGAAGAACTTTTGGGTAAAAATCATACATTAAAATTTGTATATGTTACCCGACGGCGTTTTTTAAATTGTTTTTAAAAATAAATATAGTGATCAATATAATGTATAACTCAGAATATTAAGGCAAAATAATATAAGTTTAAGATATATTCATGTATATTAATGAATTTAATGTACAAAGTGGTCCGTAACTGGTGTTAAAGCATTCGTGGGGTGATTCCTCAGATACTCGTGTTTTAATCAATTATTTTTGTACCAATAGTAGCATTTTAAATTAAGTTTTTTAATAATCACTTGAAAATAAAAAAAATTACATTAATTTCGTTTAGTTTTACAATTTATATTTTATAATATTAAACATAAAGCTTAAAAAAACAAAATTTTTATTTGCAAATAATAATGTTTTCATTTTGAAAAATAAAAATGCAAATTTTTTGAATGATGAAACGGGTTAGTACGTTTCCAATTTTTATATCTTTCAAAATGTGAGTAATTTAAGGAAGATTTTTTTCGTGCTTTCGTTCTAATTTTGGAATTTTAATTTTTTATATTATTTTGCCAATTTTTTCGAAAACTTTACTTGTTTTTTTTTAGTATAATTATTATAAAACCAATCCATATGTATTTTATTTGAATCTAACAGACTATGTTTGTGCTTGGATTCTATGATTCTTACAATTTATTATACTTTGCTTTTTTATTGACAGCTACATAAACATAAATTACTTTGTGTGCATTTATTTTGTGGTCGTTTATACCTCACTAAAAAATATGGGAAAATATTAATAAAAAGTTAGAATACGTACACATACATAAGTGTGAATGTAATAAAGGCATTAAAATTGTAAAACTTACATATTTTAAAAGCTTTTTAAGTATGAAATCCCTTTTGTTTTTTAAAATGGATATGTATGCAAATAAAATACATATGGACGTGTCTAATTTATAGCTTAAATTTGTTGGTCATTTAGTGAATATGTAGATAAACACATACATATACACTAAACGATCAGTAAAATAAAATTTGAAGAAAAAAAATCAATATGAAATGTGTTTAACACATACATTTGGTTTGACACGAAACCGCGCAAATATAAACATGTTGCAAATAAAATTATTAGAACATGTATATAATTTGTTGACAGAAGATTTAGAATGTCAAAATTTTTTTTATTTTAGTGTTCAGTTTGGACACATATTGTAAAGTAAAAACGCAGTATTATATATGAAAGCGTTAAAAAATATGGCCCAAATTATTAAACTGATTATACTCAAAACATATATTTTATAGTTGGTATTGATTATGATACAAATTCTCCAGGTGTGAATATCAATACTTGACAATAGATAGCGCTGAGCGCTGCACGTCATATTGGAAAAAAAACTTATTAGATTATATTATGAAGATTTGATGGATTTACTTAAGCGGGAAGGAAATTTTTTAGCGGCAAAAACACTTTTTGATTGAAAAAATTAAACTGAGCAACTGCGCTTAACAAATTGTTCAAGAAGAAGAGGAAAATCATATATGAAATATTAATATGGAAAGAAGAATAAGATTACGTACTTTAAACACTCATATAACTTGCAAAATATGTGGAGGCTACTTCATTGATGCAACCACAGTCACTGAATGTTTACATACATGTAAGTCTCGAGAGTATTTAATTTTATATATCGGGAATTTGAATTGAATATTTTTCAAAACAAAGTTTTTATTGAAAAAATTAAACACACAACATAATTTTAGTTTGCAAAAGTTGTTTAGTAAAACACTTGGAAGAAAAGAAAACTTGTCCGACATGCGAGAATGTTATTCATCAGTCACATCCATTGCAATATATAAGTTTTTGTATTAAGTATATAAACTAGTACCGAATCTGCAAGAAAGTGCGTTGATATATTTTGCATTTTAATATGAACTTTTTGAAAAGAAATATTTCTTTTTAGATGAAATGAAGAGGGAAAGAGATTTTTATAGAAGTCGTAATATAGCTTGTCCAAAAGATTTACTACAGAATCATGAAGATGATGATGACAAGGTTAATGAAGCACATGCTGAATCCGGCTATCATAGTTTAGATGAGCTAGTTAATGTTTGTTTAGAGTGTAGTAGTAACAATTTAAAAAATTTGCAATGAAGGTTTTCTAGGTGTAGTTCTCAATCAACTATCACTCATTTAAAGAAATTTTTAGCAAAAAAAAGTTTTAAATGGAATAGAAAAATATAGAGAGGTATAAATCTTTTTCAATATCAAAATAGGCATAACAAATCTCAATGACCAATGATTTGAGACCTTGAAAACGTGAAAGTATGTGAATTAAAATTAGCACTTTGTGCAGAAAATCGCGAATATATATATGTACGCATTTAAATTTATTGTCAAGTTTTATTTTAGTTAAAATAAATTTAAGGGCTCTTTGAAAATTAATATAATTGAGAATTGACATATTCTGTTTTGCCTAATATTTTGAAATATTTGTGAAATTTCAAATAATTATTTATTTTTTAGATTGATATTTTATGCAATGAAGAACTTTTGGGTAAAAATCATACATTAAAATTTGTATATGTTACCCGACGGCGTTTTTTAAATTGTTTTTAAAAATAAATATAGTGATCAATATAATGTATAACTCAGAATATTAAGGCAAAATAATATAAGTTTAAGATATATTCATGTATATTAATGAATTTAATGTACAAAGTGGTCCGTAACTGGTGTTAAAGCATTCGTGGGGTGATTCCTCAGATACTCGTGTTTTAATCAATTATTTTTGTACCAATAGTAGCATTTTAAATTAAGTTTTTTAATAATCACTTGAAAATAAAAAAAATTACATTAATTTCGTTTAGTTTTACAATTTATATTTTATAATATTAAACATAAAGCTTAAAAAAACAAAATTTTTATTTGCAAATAATAATGTTTTCATTTTGAAAAATAAAAATGCAAATTTTTTGAATGATGAAACGGGTTAGTACGTTTCCAATTTTTATATCTTTCAAAATGTGAGTAATTTAAGGAAGATTTTTTTCGTGCTTTCGTTCTAATTTTGGAATTTTAATTTTTTATATTATTTTGCCAATTTTTTCGAAAACTTTACTTGTTTTTTTTTAGTATAATTATTATAAAACCAATCCATATGTATTTTATTTGAATCTAACAGACTATGTTTGTGCTTGGATTCTATGATTCTTACAATTTATTATACTTTGCTTTTTTATTGACAGCTACATAAACATAAATTACTTTGTGTGCATTTATTTTGTGGTCGTTTATACCTCACTAAAAAATATGGGAAAATATTAATAAAAAGTTA